TCTGATTTGGCTGCCTCCATGCTTGCAATCTGTTAAGGACAGTGAGTAAGCTTCTGTTATCGGAGGGCCAGAGGGCACACAGCTTTGGATCCTCAGCTGCCTGAGCTGGACAACTGTGTATTGCTGAGGCAAGTCAAGGTCTAAAACCCTAACACGGAGTCACCCTCAAGGTCATAAATGCACAGCAAAAACTAAGAGGGTTGGAACCTGTGCATCCCCGTGAGCGAAGAGGAAATTCACATTGAGGAGCTGTTTGGGTTCCAGGTGAAAGATTTCCTGCTGTGGCCTTTCGTAGAAAGTAATAGTTATGAAGGGGCTAATTTTCAAGTTGCATTGTCTCCACTATTCTATTGTTGTCACATACAGATCATGTGTGGAGGCAAGAAGTTCTACTCTAGAGTTCAAAGGGAGCAGATGTACCTGTACCAGCTCTCTAAAGGCCTAGTAATTTTACCGGTCCAAATGCAGTTGTACTTATTGCTAACATGTCATAAATCCTCCTATTGCCAAAGGATAGTGCCTCTTCTGTAGAGACGCTATATCCTTGAACATCAATCATTAGATAAGCACAGGATAAAGCAAAGACAAAGGCGGATTGGTGGTAAAGATTTACCTCAAACAACCTTTACCCACTACCACATGCTGGTAGCAGGAGCAAATAATAAGGTGCCAGTATCCAGGAAAATCCCCCCGTGGTCTATTATTGGACGTGTAGCCATCAGTTCCAATGGACCTCTGGCCTGCTGATGGAAAGTCACCTCCTCATTCAGTTGGCGATATGCTGGGGCAGGGGTGGGTTACAGTGCAGGGACATTCTGTTTGTGGCAATGTGTCAGCAAAACATGGCCTGAATCCCCAGCTCACCCCTTGGAAACTTTATCAGCAGCAGGATGATATTGTAGAGTAATTCTGACGTGGTTTTCCCTCTAATTTTTCAAACCCTTCTCCAGGCTTGTGAGCCTGATGGCAGGAAAATCTACTGACGTGCATGTCTGGCATGAGGTAGGAGAATTATTGGAAGAGTGCTGTTAGTCACAGTTGGGTTGAGGAATGGGGATCGGAGGCAAGAGCAGGGGTTGGCATTCCATGACCACCTGACACCACTCACTCCCCTTCTCAATGTTAGCCACCTCAACTGGAAACAGATTTCCAAACTACGAAGGGTTCTGTGGGAAACTGTGAGCAAACATGACAAGTTTCACTGTGTGACCTTCCAAGGGCACCAGAAACCTGTGGCCCCTATTTAATTCCTCATTCACCATTAAATTGTGGTGAGTTCAGGGATAATGGGTGTAAATTGGCCCGTCATTGAACCAACTGACATCTCATCAGTGGTGGCTTGGAATCCATTGTCAACCCTTAAACTCCTCCCGTGCTCAGACACCATCAGGAAGAGGTTTTTCTGCTGCCTGCAGACGAACAGAGAGCTCTCCCATGATTTGGTGAGCCAGACCTCCATGAAGGTTATTGCATTAAACCCACAGTTTAGTATTTCGTGATTGCATTTAGCCAGACTGCGGACATTGTTATAGTTTTTCCTGACAGCCATTGGTAATGAGTCAATATTCAGAATGTACAACCAAGAACAAAACATTGACAACTTCAAGCCTGTTCCATTATTCAATTTGATCTTTGATGATCTGAGGATGAGTCACTATTACTAAGGTTTACTCTGTGTCCCTTATCTGAAAGCAATCTATTGCTATCAGTCTTAAATATTCAATCCTGATCCTCATTTTTAATTTATCTTCAGTGGCTTCCCGACTGCTTTACATCTTGGTTGGGCATTCTGCTCAGGAAAGGATGTCATTTGTGTCTCATGGAAGTCCTGAGACCCTAAATAATTTTCATTCATGAGGTTCCCGCCATCTAAATGAGACCTGTTACAACTCCCTTTAAGATGTCAGAAATTACAGCCTAAACTTTAAGAAGGTGAGTTCCAAGGGACAGAAGTGGGATGAAGTCCAGATTTCCTGCCATATTGCTGATCTCTGTCCACAGGGTATTTTTTTTTGGTCTTGATGAGATTGCTGCTTGAACATTAGACTACTTCATGGTTTAGCCTTTCAGTTCAGCCGGGACCTCTTTACGGCAGGCTGCAAGACTCAGATAGATTTGACCCTTGACCAATGAAGGGGAGAAATTGGGGAGTGAGGAGGGTTGCCTGTACCATAATTTTGAGCATTTTTATTGGGGTGTGTATTGGGAAAGGAACTTGGGGAGCCAGAGGAAAGCACTCCTGATCCTCCTGACCCACAAGGAGTGCTGGAAAGTCACTTACCTTCTCCCCAAAGCTGTCCTCAGCTCCTTTCAGCAGCTGGAGACACCTGGCCGGCCACACTTAAACCTGTAAAACAGGTTACGTCAGAGGCTGCCAGCGTCATTAAAATATGTAGATGCCCAAACCACTTCCTGTGGGTTGGTTGGCTGCTTGTTCCCCATTACCCCTTCTGTTAAACCGGGAAGCTGGCAGGTTGGAGAAGGGTTGGGACTGGGTTTGAGATTTTCTTATATTTCAACCCCTGACCAAACCACAGCCTGTTTGATTTTGGGTATAATATTCAAACCCCTGCAAGCATGTCACTAAATTCCCAGAAAATAAAAATGCTTTCAACATTTCAATACTCCTGTGAACTTTCTAGCAGTCATGGTTTATATTCTACACCTCATAGTTCTCTGAATTTTGTATTTTGCCTTTTCTTCTATGTCGCTATCATGAATTCAATCTAAGTGGGAGTTTTCCGTGACACTCCCTTCTCCAGCCCCTTTATACGGCTTGTTGGGTTCTAGCAACAATTAAATTGTAACAAAGGGTTTAGTCCAATCCACAAATCCTTGCCCTTCCCGTCTTCATATCTCTGACCTTTCCAATGGTATAGCATACGCAAGAACACAGTGTCTGCTCAGTTCTTAGAAACCTGCTTCACCTGAAGGACATTTCCAAAAACTACCAAATTGAAATTGTTGTGCTCAGAGAGAACGTTGCGTCTTTCTCTCAAATGAACTTTCAGTGTATTCTGAGCTTCCAAACAGAAACATTGGCTGCAATTAGTTTTCTATGTATTCTTCACTTCTTAGCTGTTCACCCTTATGGCAATGTCAGGTCACAGGGACACTTATTTGAACTTAGTATTATTTAGTGAAGAAATCAATTAATTCTCTTGCTGAATACAGTGAAGTTCTGTCTCTCACAGGAGATGTGTTCCTGGACTACATCTTAATTGATGATTTTTGCAAACAGAAAACATGGTCTGATGCATAAGCATTGCCTAATTTTACTCTAGAATAAGTGAAGATAGACTCGCAGTCAATAAAACATTATACAGTTAATATTGAACTGATCAGCAAATTCATGAAGGGTAAACATGAAAATGATGGCACTCTGCTGCATTCCCTAATCTTCCTTGGTATTAAAGAATGCATTGCACAAAAATACATTGACTTTTTCTAAAGCACGTTGCTCATCACGTTTTTTCAAAGCAACTATAAACATCTCCAGCAGTGAGAAGAAATTCAATTTAATCACTTGAGATGTTATATATTTCTCTTGAAAGTCAAAGCCTAAACAATAAATGGGCAAGCAATTTCAAATGTCAAAAGTTTTCAAATCTCAATCCATGGTTCGCACCATGTTATAAATTAAATGATTTTTCTTTAAAATTCAACAGTTGACTATCAAATATAAGTCAATGCATTATTTACTTTTTTATGGTATAAATCACTTTAAATCGTGTAGCTGTTCTTCACTTCCTTTCAAATTAATGAATGTTCACTGGTTGTAGAATAGTTCTTATTGCTCGGGTTGTCTCATGGTGGTGGAATGCAATACTGAGACAGAAGACCATAAGACCAAAAGAAATGATACCCTGCCAAAACAATGCACCTTAGGTTTGGAAATAGGAAGACAGATGGGAAATTTGGACAAAACACAAGAAGTGTCACACCCTTTCACCCAAATAAGGAGTCCGACAATAATACTCTAAAAATGCTGAAATATGTAGCCAAATTAAAATAAGGATGGCAAACTATACAAGTGCTTTTCTGTCAGTGCTATGTGAAAGAGATTTGGGGGAGTGGGGAGGTGGGTGGCATCTTAGAAATGCCTTCTCTGATCCAGCATTGAAGACCGACAAGGGTGTGAGAGAGAGAACTTCAGAAAAATGTTTCAGTTTGTTAAGTGCTGCTTTGGGATTGCTTTGTTCTTCATGTAGGACAGTGATGTTATCAAAAATCCACTCAAATTGGCCAAAAATAGGCATTATCCGTTGTGGAACATAGTCAAAGCAAAGAGGAGATATAAAGGAACTTTACTGAAAAAGGATTTGTTACTTTAGTCAGTAAAATGGTTTGGTCTGCCACTCCAAAGACATGCGTGGAGATCCAAGGCTGGATTGACCATTTAAGATAGACCCCCAGCTCGTAGGATTGTTTGACAACCAGTGTCATTGTGACAAGGGTATCGCAGTGGCTCGGTGGTTAACATTGCTGCCTCAAAGCACCAGGGACTCAGGTTCAATTGCAGCCTTGGATGACAGTCTATGTGGAGTTTGCATGTTCTCCCTGTGTCAGCGTGGGATTCCTCTGGGTGCTACAGTTTTCTCCCAAAGTCGAAAGATGTGCAGGTTAGGTGGACTAACCATGGTAAGATGTTTTGTAGTATCCAGGGATGTTCAGGCTTGGTGGATTAGCCATTGTAAATGCAGGGTTATGGGGATAGGGTGGGGGTCTGAGTCTGGGTGGGATACTCTTCACAGAGCTGGTTTCATTGACCAAATGGCCTCTTTCTGTGCTTTGGGATTCAATGATTCTATGTAGTCTTGCTTAGTAGTTTAATAAAGGCAATACCACTGTGTAACAGTATCCATGTCGTGATACACCATGGATATCTGGGCCACACCCTTTCACCCAATTAAGGAGTCCTACAACAATGTTCCAAAAAATGCTGAAATATGTAGGCAAATTAAAATAAGGGTAGCAAAATATACAAGGGCTTTTCTTACCTCGACAAGTTGGCAATGGGCTGCTCCACTGGCCTGTAGCACGGCACTGAGCTCTCATCGCACCATGCAGTGAATATCCCGGATTACAGGTAAAGTTAACCACATCATTCAGATTGAACTGACTGCCATTGGTTTTGCCGTGACCTGGATTGCCGGGGTGACCACATGTGATCGCTGAAACAATTAAGTTTGAGTTGTACAATGTGAACAGAGGAGCTTGTAAAAGACTTCATTTGGAACAATTCACCATGAAATATATTTTGAGTTTTCAAATTACTGCTTTAATCGGTATTGTGCTGTGTTATTTCAATAATTTTTCATGTTAGTACCATTAGTAAAATCATTGCTCACAAAAAGCTAAGGAATAGAAAATGTCCTTTGAGCTGTGGAGAAATGAAATGATTTGACGAAGGAATGGAACAGTTCAGGTTGAGATTTCATGAACTTAAAATTCTGCATAGATATGCTGCCTCCGTAGCTTCTCCAGGTCTTTTTTTAAACCTATTAAATGTCAAATTTATGTTGCTAATATATTGCAACTACTAATTTGATACTGGTATCTGCATTAAGGTAGTGTAAGCAATAGCACACAATGCATTGCTGATTCTGCATTGTTCAGCATTTCGGACTGTACCTGTTTAAATAAATTAAGGTTGCTCTCCTTGTTGGTTTTGGAATAGCAACGAAATTTCAACTATACTTAAAATAAAAACTGTTTTATCACCTCAGTATGAACAACAAATTACCTGAAACTTTTGGAAACTTCAAAAGTTATGTTCTTGTTTAAAAATAGGCTGCCCGTTGTTATATTGCAGTTAGCATACGATATAAAGGGTAAGGCCAGGTCGTCGAGGTGCTTGCCAATCACTCAGAATTTCAGAATACATTCAAACAGTTAAATGTGGTGCAGAATGATGCAAAGCTGTGTATTTTAATCCAATGTGGAAGGAAATATGATTTGTGTACAAGTATCCAAACTTATCCAAAAGGATATTATTAAGTAGGACAGGGTTCAGAAGAGATTTACCAGGATTTTGCCAGGAATGGAGGGTTTATAAGAGTTATAAGGAGAGGCTGGACAGGCTTGGACCTGATTCAGTGGAGCACAGGAGTTTGAGGGGTGACCTTATAGAGGTTTAAAAAATCATGAGGGGTATAGATAGGGTGAATGGCAGGTGTCTTTTCCTTAGGGTGGGTGGCTCCACGACTAGGGGCACATTTTTAAGGTGAGAGGAGAAAGATTTGAAAAAGAAATGAGGGGCAATTTTCTTTCGTGTGTGGAGGAAGTGGTGGATGCAGGTACGATTATAACATTTGGATAAGCATATGAGTAAGAAATGTTTGGAGGCATATGGGCCAAGTGCAGACAGGTGGGACTAGTTTAGTTTGGCATTATGGTGAACGTGGACTGGTTGGAGCAAAAGATCTGTTTCTACTGTATGACTCTACAATTCTATTATCAACATATACATCCAAGAATATCAAAGAAATAATTTTGTCAGAAATTCAGGAAAATTGTGTTAAATTCTTTTAAACTGCTCGCCAATATTTTAAATGGGTCATATGTGGTTTTCCATTTTTAAGCATTATATCCACACATCTGAAGGGAGTCCCAAAGCATTTCCCATGCATGGGATCATTTTTAAAGTTGTCACTGTTTTACTGTGTTTCAGGGCCAGGTATTCCACAACTGACAATAAATTAATGCAAAATGTATTCCATGTATCAGCTGCTGAGTCTTGTAAAGTCAACAGGAAAAGAGACTTTTTTGAAGAGTATCTGTTCATTAATACATTAACTGATTTTCTATGTTGTCAATGATGAAGGCACACGAAAGGATGGAGATTTTTTCTAAGAACTAGCCCTGGGGGTTTAAACAATTTACTCCACTTCATGAACTGGTACTTTAATAAGCTGAGCAGACACTACACAAAGGCAATTAGAATTTGACTGCTGTAAAAGGTGTCAATGGATAGCTTTAGATATTTGCTGCATTTTCTTAATAGAATCATTACAGTGTGGAAGCAGACCATTTGGCCCATCAAGTCCATGCCATCCTTGCCTATGGCTGTAACCCTGCATTTTCCCATGGCTAGTCCACTTAGCATGCACATCTCTGGACACTATGGGCAGTTTAACATGACCAATTCATCTAACCTGCACATCTTTGGACTGTGGAGGAAACTGAAGCACCCGGAAGAAACCCACGCAGACACGGGGAGAATGTACAAACTCCACGCAGAGAATCACATGAGGCTGGGATCCCTGGCACTGTGAGGCGGCAGTGCTAACCACTGAGCCACCTTGCTGCTCTGATAGGAAATCAAACAAATGGGCACAGATCAAACTACTCCACTAACGGAGAAATAGGCTGTCAGTTTCTTTTGCACTATCTTCAAGACCAGTTTCATCCCTAAAAACAGATCAGGAAGAGGCCCCTTCAGCCTACTCTGCCATTTAATTAGGTCATGACTCATGATTGTAACCTCAAATCCACACGTTGCTCACCCCCAGCAATCTTTCACCCCATTACTTAACAAGAATCTAACTCTGTCTTAAAAATTTTCAAACATCCCACTTCCACCAACTTTTCAGAAACAGAGCTTCAATGGCTTATGATCTTCTGCGATAGAACAAAAAAACTCATCTCTGCCTTAAATGGGTGACCCCGTACTTGTCAAAAATGACCCATAGTTCTCATTTCTTCCGTAATAGTAAACATTCTCTCCACACCAACCTTTCTTCATAAGACAACTCGTCCATTCTGGATATTAATCTGGTACACTTGTTCTGAACTGCTCTGAATGCACTTTGTTTATTAATTAAGGTGACCGATATTGTGCATAGTACTCAAAATGTATTCTCAGCAATGTCCTGCATCACGGAAGTATAACCTACAAGCTTTCTATTCAATTCCGCTCACTCATACCAATACCATTCTGTTAGCTTTGTTTGTTACTTGCTGTTCCTATATCTTTTGTGATTCATACACAAGGCCAACCAGATTCCTTTGCATCCCCCTTGCAATCTCTCACCACTTAGATAATATCCAAATCATTCTTCCTGCTAAAATGGACAGTTACACATTTTCCCACATTATCATCCATTTGCAACATTTTTGTCAATTCAGCCTCCATTATGTTTTCTTCACAACTTACTCATCCACCTGACCTTCTGTATTAAGCAAATATGGCAACCACACCCTTCCATCTCTTCATTCAAATCATTTACATAAATTATGAACAGTTAAGGTCCCAGCACCAATATCTGAAAAAGACACATTTATGCTGACTATCTGCTTCATGTTAGACAGTCAATATTCCATCTGTGCCAATATGCTACCAGCACCCCATCCCAGTTTAACTCTGGGCAATAGCTCAATGATTTTAATTTGAATTGGCGATGTGGTATACATCCATCTATTCACCTAATTTTCTTCTCAATAATAGAGTGTAAAATCAGGAAAGGCGGTAATCAATGGGTCAATGATTCACTTAGACTGGCATAATATCACTGCCACAAGTTAAATTAATTCCAAGAACTTTTGAGTTTGGTGATAGTCAAACCAGTTGGGAGACACAAAACAGAATTATTTTCAGGCATTGATCAACAGCACTTCTGGGATTCTGACAAATAGAAGTCTTATGAACACTCATTTGGCACAAAAATGCATTTCTAAAGGACATAAAAAAGAAAGATTTCTAAAAGCAGGCAGAGCTAACCTTCACCACAGCAAAGGAGTCATACTTACGGACACAGACTGCTGGTTGTCCTGACCAATTATGATCCTGTTGGCAAATTCTCACCGAGGAGCCAACAAGACGGAAACCTGGATTACACTGATAGACAACTGTGTCACGATAACTAAACCCATCTCCACTGATGTGGCCATTTACAATTGGATCCGGAGAGCCACAGTGACCAGCTAAATTAGAGGGCAAAGAAAGGAAAGCAGATAAGACAACAGCCATAATATTTCAACATCAGCAAAATCTTACATAAATAAAATGCTGAGAAACATAGAATACTCTCGTAAGGGATGTAAACACAGAAAAATACTATAATTCCAGGGGAAGATCTGAAGAATGTAAACATCTACTTCCCAATTTACCCCCTGGTAGACAGGAGCTCCATTGTGATGAAAAAGTAAAGTGCATGTCTGTTCTCATGCATATCCTTTGGACAGCCCGGGTACCCATTTGGAGAGCTGAAATACCCCTGTGGATATAGCTTCAAGACACTTTCTGTGTTGTGGTTGGGAAGTGGAAGTTGTATAACTTGTTCTTTGCGAATGAGGGTTAGAAACACTTTTGGGAGGTTGTCAAACCGGTTGAGAGATACAAAACAGATTTATTTGCAGGCAGAGATTAATAGTGCTTCTGGCATTCTGATGAACAGAAATCTTATGAACACTCACTTGGCACAAAAATGCATTTCTAAAGAAGATAAAAAGAGAAAGATTTCTAAAAGCAGATCCCACTGAGACCGTTAACTGCACAAGAGGCGCATATACTCCATGGAACTATCCAACTTGCAAAGACCTGTCAAAAAGTGTCAAGAAGTATTTATCCACAGAGTGCAGCCTAAAATTTAGAGCTTTAAGTAATATTTTCTTCTCCTATCAGTGTAGGTAACTGTGGATACAAAATGAGTTAGAATGGTAGGTAGGGGAGGGAAAGGATGGTGAGTGGAGTAGGCACTAAATTAGCATAGGGTTATGAGGAGACATGAATTAGGTTGCATAGGTGGGTCACGTGGAGTGTCTAGGGTTGAAGGGCAGTGGCAGAGGTCTGATGGGCATGGGCTTTTTTTACTATTCATTTGTGGGATGTGGGGGTCGCTGGCTGGCCAGCATTTCTTGCCCATCCCTAGTTGCCCTTGAGAAGGTGGTGGTGAACTGCCTTCTTAAACCGTTGCAGTCTTCCTGCTGTGGGTTGACCCACAATGCTATTAGGGAGGGAATTCCAGGATGTTGACCCAGCGACAGTGAAGGAACAATGATATATTTCCAAGTCAGGATGGTGAGTGACTTGGAGGGGAACTTGGAGGTGGTGGTGTTCCCATATATCTGCTGCCCTTGTCCTTCTAGATGGAAGTGGCCGCGGGTTTGGAAGTTACTGTCTGAGGATCTTTGGTGAATTTCTGCAGTGCTTCTTATAGATAGTACACACTGCTGCTACTGAGCGTCGGTGTTGGAGGGAGTGAATGTTTGTGGATGTAGTGCCAATCAAGTGGGCTGCTCTGTCCTGGATGGTGTCAGCTTCTTGAGTGTTGTTGGGGCTGCACTCATCCAGGCAAGTGGGGAGTATTCCATCACACTCCTGACTTGTGCCTTATAGATGGCGGACAGGCTTTGAGGAGTCAGGAGGAGAGTTAGTCGCCGCAGTATTCCTAGCTTCTGGCCTGCTCTTGCAGCCAATGTGTTAATGTGGTGAGTTGAGTTAAGTTTCTGGTCAACGGTAACCCCCAGGATGTTGATAGTGGGGGATTCAGTGATGGTAACAATATTGAATGTTGAGGGACGGTGGTTAGATTGTCTGTTGTTTGTGATGGATGTAGCCTGGCATTTGTGTGGCGCGAATGTCACTTGCCACTTGTCAGCCCAAGCCTGGATATTGTCCAGATCTTGTTGCATGTGAATATGGACTGCTTCAGTATCTGAAGAGTCATGAATGGTGCTGAACATTGTGCAATCATCGGCAAACATCCCCACTTCTGACCTTATCATGGAGCGATGGTCATTGATTAAGCAGCTGAGGATGGTTGGGCCTAGGACACTACCCTGAGGAACTCCTGCAGAGATGGCCTGGAGCTGAGATGATCAACGTTCCATAACCACGACCATCTTCCTATGTGTCAGGTATGACTCCAACCACCAGAGCATTTGCCCCCGATATCCATTGGTTCCAGTTTTGCTAGGGCTCCTTGATGCCACACTCGGTAGAATGCAACTTTGATATCAAGGGCTGTCACTCTCACCTCACCTCTGGAATTCAGCTCTTTTGTCCATATTTGGACCAAGGCTGTAATGAGGTCAGGAACTGAGTGTCCCTGATGGAACCCAAATTGGGCGTCACTGAGCAGGTTATAGCTGAGCAGGTGCTGCTTGATAACACTGTTAATGACACCTTCCATCAGTTTACTGATGATCGAGAGTAGACTGATGGGGTAGTAATTGGCCAGGTTGGATTTGTTCTGCTTTTTGTGTACAGGACATACTTGGGCAATTTTCCACATTGTCAGGAAGATACCAGTGTTGTAAGTGTACTGGAACAGCTTGTTTAGGGGAATGGCAAGTTCTGGAGCACAAATCTTCAGTACTATTGCTGGAATGTTGTCAGGGCCTGTGGCCTTTGCAGTATCCAATGTCTCCAATTGTTTCTTGATATGGAGAATGTTTTACATTTTGCTCCTTTTGGAGAGATGAGATATCCCTTAGATAGAGATAAAGCACACTTTATGATTGTGCAACGGTATGCTTTTGCATGAAAAACGTACATTGTAGGTTTGTACGTTGATGTTTCCCACCCTCCCTCCTCCTCTGACCAAAAGAAAGGGGCTCTGTGATGAAGACAACTGGCAAGGTCAAGGTGTATAAGGGAGCGGCCATTAAGAGGGGGGCCAGTGTTAGATTGGAAGTGCTGAGGTCTTCGCTCAAGAGGTTTCAGCGTGAAGAGGCTATCAGGGGAACAGGTAAGGGCTCTTAAACTCTACTTTCTTTCTGTCTAGACTGAAGGCAGTGGGGATGGCAGTTCGGGCAGTGGCATGCTCCTCTTGCAGAATGAGGAGGATCAGGGAGACTTCCAGTGTTCCTGGTGGCTACACCTGTGAGAAATGCACCCGGCTGCAGCTCCTGACAGACCGTGTTAGGGAACGGGAGCTGGAGCTGGATGCACTCAGGATCATCCGGGGTGCAGAGAACATCATTGATAAGAGCTGTAGTGACGTGGTCACTCCTAAGGTGCAGGCTGCAGGTAGCTGGGTGACCACCAGAAGAGGTAAGGGGTGGGTGGGAAGGCAGATAGTGCAGGGTTCCCCTGTGGCCATTCCCCTCAATAACAGGTATACCACTTTGGATACTGTTAGGAGGGAATGACCTTTCAGGGACTAGCAGCAGCAGTCAGGTCATTGGCACTGAGCACTGAGGCTCAGAGGGAAAGGGTGCAGTCAGACAGAGCGATACTGATAGGAGACTCAATTGTGAGGGGGACAGACAGGAGATTCTGTGGCTGTAGAAGAGACACCAGGATGGTGTGTTGCCTCCCGGGTGCCAGGGTCAAGGACGTCTCTGAGCGGTTGCAGAACATTCTGAAGGGGGAGGGTGAACAGCCAGAGGTCGTTGTGCACATCAGTACAAATGACAAAGGTAGACAAAGGGATGGGGTCCTGCAAAATGAGTAGAGGGAGTTAGGTAAGAAGTTAAAAAGCAGGACTTCAAGGCTAGCGATTACTCCCAGTGCCATGGACCAGTGAGGATAGAAATAGAAAGACTGGCCAGATGAATGCATGGCTGAGGAGCTGGTGAAGGAAGCAGGGTTTTCAGTTCTTGGATCATTGCGATCTCTTCTGGGGTAGAGGTGACCTGTACAAGAGGGACAGGTTTCACTTTAACCAGAAGGGGTCCAGTATCCTCGCGGGGAGATTTTTTAGAGTTACCCGGGAGGGTTTATTCCAGTTTGGCAGGGGATGGGACTCTGAATAAGAGAGGGGCCAACAAGAAGTCAAAGGAAAATACATTAGCCATCGAGAACAAGTTTACTATTCAGGAAAGCCAGGGGCACAGTAAAGGGTCGGAAAAGACTTCTGGTTTAAAGCTCGTTTATTTCAACACACAAGGCCTGACTGATAAGGCAGATGAGCTCAGACCATGCATTGGCTCAGGGAACTAGGATATTATAGCCATAACAGAGACGGGCAGGACTGGCAGCTCATTGTTTCAGGATACAGAATGCATATAGTCTTTTTCTCAGGGATGGGGAATTGAAAACTAGAGGGCATAGGTTTAAGGTGAGAAGGGATTGATTTAAGAAGGACCTGAGTGGCAACTTCTTCATGCAGAGAGCAGAGATGCATATATGGAATGGGCTGCCAGAGATAATGGTTGAGGCAGGTACAATAGCAACATTTAAAAAAACGTTGAGATAAGTACCTGGATGAGAAGGATTTAGAGGGATATGCACCAATTGCGGGCAGTTGGAACTAGCTGAGTGGGCACCATGTTCAGTATAGACCAGGTTTAGGCCAAAGGGCCTGTTTCCATGCTGTATTGCTCTATGGCTCTAATAGGAGTGCTAAAGTTGCCAAACCAACATTCAAGAAAAAAATACGGGTTAAAAAGAAACATGCTAATTTTTTTATTACATAAATCTGCTTTAGGATTTGAGCTGAATGACTGATTTATACTTGCATAATAGAGAGCTTCAATAGTGATTGAATTAAAATGTTTGTTTTCATGAGAAATTAGTTGAAGCAATTTCAATATCTTTTCGATAAGTGGGAGTGTTTTTCTTTTCAATTGTGACATTATGGGGATGGGAAAGGGGCATAATTTGGCATCAATGGGTCATGAAAAGTGAGAGGTTGAGAGTAAATGGTTGGTTTACGTTTCAATCTTCATTTTTATACTTTGGTCTCTCCTCGAGCCCTGAGGGAGGCTCTTCACACAGTACTCGTCAAAATCAGGAAATCAGGGTCCTAAGTTAGCCTGGAATTTGTCACAGAGAATACGATCCCTTGTGGGTGTCTGGAATTAAAATATCACACCTCTCAAATTTAAAAGGAAAGTTATACATAGGTATAATAGATATAAAAGATAGGTGAGAAAATATCAACTTCTCCCAAAAATGCCAGTCTATGTGGCTTCATTAAAAATAAGTAACATTAAGTCATGCAATGTGAAATGTTGTTTTAAGTTGGAAGTGTGAGTCAGCTTAATGATCACCATCAGTACATACTATTATGGAGGCAATTGTCCGATTTCATGCTCCCAGCAGGAAGACTCTCCTGCACGCTGTATGTTGGGAAGTCAGAGGTGTGTTCTGATCATTTCCCACTGTTTAAATGAATACCTGGGAGGTATGCAGTATGTGCACTTACATTTCTAGTATGGGTTATCAGCGGGCCAGCGTCTCTGTTCAGGGCACTGAATGGGAATTTTAGTCACGCAGTTTTAAAATTATACTGTCCTAGTTCAGGAACAGTGTGGGTTTGCTGTACTACGTTTACCGGAGTAAAAGTTGGTCTTGTGTAAAGTCAACACATGACTTTTGCCAAAACAATCCTTAATTTTTCATATACCTCAATTCATTATTGACTAACTCAGTGCAAGCCTCCTGCACCAAGGTTTAGGTCAAAGAGTGGAACCATCAGCCAGGCCTTCCCATTCTTTCCCATGCCCTGATCTGTAGGCCCATCAATACTGCCACTGCTCTGTGTCTGTGTCCATGTATCCTTCTGAGTGTGTGTTTCTCTGTGTGGTGTGTGTCCTTGTGTATGTGTGTGTCCTTGTGTGTCCGTGTCCGTGTCCGTGTGTGTCCCCTTGTGTGTGCCATGGATGTGTTTCTGTATGTGCATGCGTGTCTGTATGCATCCTTATGTGTGTATGTGGTGGTTCTTGAGAGAAACAGAGAGAGACAATGAATGGTTGATGTAGGCAGTACTTTTCCCATTCCATTGTGGATTCTTTTCAGAGACATAGCTGTGTTAGAATGATTATTTACTAAGGATGAACAAAGAATAGGTGATTTTGCAGTCTCAGCAAGAAGACATGAATGCTTTGATGACAGAGGTACAGTTGCAACTAGAGGGGCAATGAATCAACTCTCAATTTGAGGGCAGCACATTGGCTCAGTGGTTCGCACTGCTGCTTCACAGTGCCAGAGACCTCAGTTCGATTCCACCTTCGGGCAACTAGGGAGGTGGCAGCCTACTGGTATTATTGCTGGACTATTCATCCAAGGCAATGTTCTGGGGACCTGGGTTTGAATCTCGCTAGGGCAACTGGTGGAATTTGAATTCAATAAAGTTCAGAAAATAAGGGTCCAATGATGACCATGAAACCATAGCAGAAAAGCTCATCTGGTCACTAATGTCCTTTAAGGAAGGAAATCTGTCACCCACATCTGGTCTGGCCTACATGTGACTCCCCAACCACAACAATGTGGTTGACTCTTAACTGCCCTCTGGGCAATTAGGAATGGGCAATAAATACCAACCTACCCAGCAATGCCCTAGTGTCATGAATGAATAACAAAAAAAAAATCATTGCTGTATGATGAGGAAAGTCAGATTATGGAATGGAGACAGAGCCCCTTAAAGAGAGAGAGAGAGTGTGAACTCATGGAGTCTTTTGACAGCTGTGCTGGGCAGATATATTTTGATAAAACTAAGTGCCTCCACAACTTTACCTGTGTAAAAATTGAACCTCTCAGGGAGTGAGTTCCAAATATTTTCAAGTTGTCAGTGAAGACATTTCTCCTCATTTTAGTCCCAAATGATCACCCCTTAACCTGAGGCGCTCCCCCCACCCCGCATCATGTTTGAGGCTCCTCAGTCAGAGAAGGCAAACTCTCAGAGTCGACCCTGGTCGGGCCTCTTTAGAATCGTGTATGTTTTGATGAGACTACATTTCCTTCTTCAAGGTTCTGAAGAACATAGGCCCATGCAGTCAGCCAATTAGCATAGGTTAGCTCATTCAACCCAGTCACCAAGATAGTAAGCTTTCATTGTATTCACTTCAATGCAAAGACACCTGCCACTTGTGTAAGGATCAATGCCCAATAGGAACAATATTCAAACCTTCAAAATACATTTCACTTCAGATTCTTACATCCATGACAGAGAAAGGACTTTCATCCCATTAATTGAAATCAAGAGCAGTTTTGCCTGAGTTTACATATGCATATAACTGCTGTAAGATTCAACTGATATTCTTCAGCTGCATGCCTCGATTATCTAAGGTACATACCCAAGCATCTGGTTTCCACTCCACTCCACAGGCCATTTACTTGGCACTCTCGAACATGAGATCCAGCCAATGTGTACCCAGTGTTACAAGTAAAGATTGCAGTCGCCCCATATGTCTGGAGTGTTCCAATCCTGTTGCCATTTGGTGGGGAAGGGAGATCTCCACATGAGACAACTGTTTTTTTAAAAAAGAGTCATATAATTAAAATTGGAAGTAGGCCATTCAGCCCATCGAATCAGCTCCATCATTCAATAAGACCACGGCTGACCTGGATGATAACAATTCACTTTGTTAAAAACAAGCCCTCATCACTCTTCCCGCTGAAAGAAAAAGTTTCACATTACACCCTCTTTCAGAAGCCTTCATAATTTTGACTTCCGTTGTTAAATCTCACCGTAACCTTCTCTAATCTAAAGAGAATGCTTCCAGTTTCTATGGCCTCTCCACTTAACTGAAGTCATTCATCCCTTGCATCATTCAAGTAAATCTCAAAAGCACACTCTCCAAGGCTTGGCATACTTTGCCTTTGGCAAATAGATGAGACATTTCTTTAATTCCTGTTTATGCATTAAGTTTATGTCAAGTCACGCAATTTAAAATTTTAAAAGCTCCACCATAAATTTGGTAGCTCTAAGTATGTATATGCTTCGTATAGAATTCAGTTCAACTCACATGCAGTAGAAAATCATTTAAAAATTAGCACTAAAATAGTTGTTTATTTATAAGTGACATTGAACCAGATTTTGTCGTGTACGTGTTCGGCCAGATAATCATTTCTGCATTGAATATGGGACTCACAAAAGAGGACCCTGTAGAACCTTTGTCATAGCATTCTTTGAAGGAATTACCTGGAAATTTAAAGATTCCACTGGGTAATTGCCCTGCACCTAGAACCCTCCAAAAATATCCAGTTAAATCAGAGAATTCATTGGCTAACACTGCAGGAAAGGTTAGATTTTATAAAGCCCAGTATAACTCCTGAATAACAATTCAACTGAACATCCAACGTAGATCACACATACTCAACTACACCTCTTCCAGTCCTCCACATTCACCCAGACCCTGATCTGACAACCCTGCTTCCCAAAGTATCTAAAATCATCCCCCTATCCCTGGACATGGTGATACCTGCAAATGGATGATATACCGAACACGCTCTCCCTGAGACCTGCAGCGACCTGACCTGGCTTCTGTCCTGTTCCCCTCGGTCACAACATAGCACCTTATCCCTACCTCTCCACCCTTCCATCCCAGATATTTTCCACCAACACTAAACACTCCGTTATTTACCTGGTCCCCACTACATAGTACCCAGGCACCTTATCTATCTCCTTTCCAAATGGCACTTTCCTCCTGTTCACTTGACAGCCTCCACACATCTGCCACCCTGACCTCACACTTACCTTTTGTCAAAGTGGTTGGCTATGATGCTGTGAATCCCGTAAGCTACAGAAAATGGCAATTGATTGCTGTGAAAAAGGAGACGCAATTCCCTTTCCTCTGACTATGAGAGACCTGTTCAAATTTAAAGTACGTGTCTGCTTGTCTAAAGGAGCCTGGACTAGAATCTCCTGTCTGATTTGTGGAGCTCTTTCATTATGTATAATAGTTGTGACTGCACTTCCTCTGAAAATCCGGCCCAAATAATTTCCAATTATACAATAACTGCAAAGAAAAAGAATCAAAGGCACTTGCTCTTACTTTTGCAACTTGCTTTTTCATTGGATCCACTCCACGTGCCATTTGCCTGACACTGTATGACCTTGTTGCCTCTCAAGTAATAACCAGGTTTACAGCTTAACATGACTTTGCTTCCATATTCATTCACTGACCCATGAATGAGCCGCTTGACCACTTCTTTTGAAAGAACTGTTTCAATAGGAGGACACGGCACAGCTGTGAGGTGGAAATAAACACAAGTAAAAAGTGATCCATTTTTATGATATTTAACACACATAATTAGCTCTACAAAGTTAAAATTTACGGTGACATTCTATTGTTGCCATTTTATGTCTTCCCATACATTGTAATGATAAGAAGACATCAATCAGACTGAGAGGACAGGCTGTGGGAGAAAGATCTGAATTAAATTGAAAACCTAAAGGGTCTAAATTAGTCCTATTAAAAGTCTGCAGACACCTTCTTACTTTAACGGTGACAGGCTTTCACGGCAGCAATTTTAGAAAGCTTTCTCCAAGGTGGAGGGTAAATGCTTAATTCTTGACCGAGGTAATTTAGGTTTTCGATTGAGCTGTATCATCGTAAAGACTGTACCTTTCTTATTTTTCCACAGTTTTGGTTGCAGTATAAAATGGGAAAAGGACTGGTTTTAAAAAAAAGCAAGGATTGTGGAAAGAATTGCTGCATCTTCTGCAACCAAGTTCCCAGCATTTATTGTTAGTGATGTTTACACTGCTGCTTGTTCAAGCAGTGGGGGCAGATTATTACAGACAGATGGTAAAAAGTGAGATTCAGTCAGCAACAAGTAGCTGATTGGTAGGTGGAACAGTCACTAGTTGTCGATGACAAAGGTCTTCCACCTTTTAACAATATGTGTTTGTTGACCAGGTAACTGAACCGCTTATAGGTCGGAATGAAACAGGCAGGAGCCTTCGGGCCTCTGGAGGGAGAGGTGGTATCCAGTATGTGGTGGTGATATGCAGTAAAAATATAGCGAAAACCTGAGGGTAACCAATTTATTTTCCTTCACCAGTTGCTGTATGCTGTGGCTTTTAATCTATAAGTTAGAGACTTTATCATTTGTGAACTAGATACTCTGTATCTCCCACAAGGAAGGTGAAGCCACTTGGAAAAGACAGGGATCAATGAAGAGTAAATCCTGACAATTAAAAGGATCATCTCAGTAAACCTAATGAATAGGGAACATTGAATTGACTTCCCAGTTTTCCCCTCCATCCATAACACCATTATTTTTGTACCTGTCTATATTTGTGCGCAGGCACAGTTTTAAAAGGGGTCAAGAGTTTTAACAGAAGAGTTATATGTTGATAGTTCAGAATTGTTCACTTTTAGCTAGACCTATGTATTTGAAATAAATTATCACTTTTTAAGGTAGAGAAACATGGTCTGTGTTCTCTTAACCTGAGACTAAAATGACAGATCAATTGGGGAATTCTGCATGCTTTGATAAAATCTTTAACTTTTGAGATGACTCAGAGACTAGTGGGGTTTGATTTCCAGTGAGGCATGACACATCTAAATATTACACCTGCATTTGGAAAGTACTGATAGTACCTTACATTAGATTGTTGTTCTATACATTCCTTCAGTAAGCATCAAGTAAATTGCACTAAAACATACAACAGAAAGAAGTCAAAAGACGAAAATGAAATGTGCTTGACATTTACTGATGAGAACCTGATTTCTGCTGGCACGTATCTGTGACCTCTGGCTCAGTAGGTATTGAGTAGTGTCGTGTTTGTAATGTCCCAAATAACCTTACATTCATCTATGAAGTGCCTAAGGGTCTGTATGGAAGACAGTCCCCAGTCATTATGCACAATGGAGTTTAAAGCAATAAAACATCTTATTTGTTTTTTATGCAAAAGTGAATTTGATTGATAGAGTCATACAGCATGGAAACAGACCCTACAGTCCAAATCGTCAGTGCCAACCAGGCATCCCAATCTAACTTCGTCCCATTTACCATCTTTTGGCCCACATCCCTCTAAACACTTCCCAATCATATACACATTTAGATGTCTTTAAATGTTGAAATTGTATCTGCCTCCACCACTTCCTTTGGCAGCTCATTCCATGCATGCACCATCCACTGCATGAAAGAAGATACACCTCAAGTCCTTCTTAAATCTTTTCCCTCTCATCTTAAAACTATGCCCTCTAGTTTTGGACTCCCCCAACCTTGGAAAAAGACCTGGGCTATTCACCCTATCCATGCCCCTCATGATTTTATAAACCTCTGTAAGGTCACCCACCAGCCTCCTCTGCTCCGGGGAAAGAAGCCCCAGCCTACTTAGCCTCTCCCCATAGATCAAACCCTCCAACCCTGGCAACATCCTTGTAAATCTGTTTTGCACCCTCTCAAGTTTCACAACATCCTTCCTATAGCACGGAGACCAGAACTGCATGCAGCCTTCCAAAAGTGGCCTAACCAATGTCCCGTACAGCAGCAACATGATGTCCCAACTGCTATGTTCAATGTTCTGACCAATGACAGCAAGCATACCAAAAACCTTCACCACCCTGTCTACCTGCGACTCCACTTTCAAGGAACTATGCACCTGCAACCCTAGGTCACTTTGTTCAGCAACACACCCTTGCATCCTACCATTAAATGTAAAACTCCTGCCCTGGTTTGCCTTACCAAAATGCAATACCTCACATTTAATTAAAATAAGTTCACCAATACCTTGTCAACAGTTTACTGGTTCTATAAATGACAAGGTGTTATGGCAACACACAAATCAGGAACACACAGGTTCAGTGTCCAAAATGCATTAATCACATTTATGTGGGATGCCAAAATTGGTTGCTGTGACCAAAAGAGGTGAAATATTGCACAGAATCTCTGTCACTATTCACTAGATGTGTGAATATTGACTATGGATAGAACCAAGTTCAGCAACTATACTCTTCTTCCCTAAAATATGTCTAAAATTACTGGAATTTCACGCGTGAGGAATCAGGGCATGAGGTATAGGATTAATGCCAATTCTCATAGTACCAGAGCAAGGACACCAGATGTACATTAGGGATGACAAAATCAAGAATCTATTCTTTATAGAGCAATTTGTCACTACCCTTAATGCACAGAGAGACAATCCTCCATCCATATCTGAAATGATAGCACCAATTTCAGAGTGGAGAAGAAAAGGAGAAATAACAAATAAAAGTCTACATTCTGTCAATGAGTATGGGGAAACAAATTACAGCCATTATATGAAATCGGGTTCCCACTTAACCTTGGGAGAGTTGGCATTTTAGAAACTGAATCTTGCATTCTTTATTCAAAGTGAAATTCAAGTGGACTCTTGATCAATGCTGACAACATTCACAAGATGATCAGACACTTGCAAAGAAGCACTGAAACATGATTAAGATTCATTCAGATAACACTAAAGTGGTTATATCAGTAAATGCTTTTCCATTCAATGATTTAAACCATTTGCTCTTCAGATGTGAGGGGACTGAAAACCGACAAAAAACAATATGCAGTCAATGTAAAAAGTAAGCATAACTCAAAAGATAATTCAGAGGTAAATATTCAGACAATGAACACAAAAAGACAGCAGTGAGTAATGGAAGCAGCGGTAGGCTAAGGGACAGCTCACTGAAAGGCAAAGTCCCTTGTGAGGTCATCTGAGGAGCACAGAGAGGAGGAATTCAAAGTTCCAGAAAATTTCTGGCTCACAAGGAGTTCTCTGAGTTGTTAGAAGGTCCTGCAAATGCCTTAAGATTATGTGTAACAAATTAACTGGAGTTATTTAAAGAGATAAGAGAAGGTTAATGGGAGAAATTCTGCTAATGTGCCAAACATAGACTTCCAAAATACGTTTGATACAGTACCACATCACAGATTTTTGAGCAAAGTTACATCTCGTAAAATGGAAAAGGAAAGTACTAACATGGATATGGAATTAGCTGAGCAATAGGAACATGAGTAATGGTTAATGGATGTTTTTAGGCAAAGGAAACACTTGTAGTTGGGTTCCCCAGGATTAATATTGGAACTCTTCTTTTTACAGTTATATTAATGACATACATCTGGGTGTATAGGGCATACTTTCACAAGTTGCAAACAAAACTAGGAAGCATTTTGATCTTTTAACAGGATAGTGTAGGATGTCCAAAAGGGCATAGATAAGTTGGTGAAATGAGCAGACAGGTGGCAGACAAAGTTCATTGCAGAGAAATGTGAAGTTTGTTGTTTTCCTAGGAAGAATGTGGAGACACAATATAAAACAACAGTTACATCTAAAAAGATTGCAGAGGCAGAGGGACATGTGTGTACATGTGCATAAATAATTGAAGGTAGCAGGATAGGTAGCAAGTGTGATTAGTAAAGTGTAGAATATTCTCAACTTTATAACTAGGAAGACAAAGGACAACAGCAAGACGGTTACACTGAATTTCCAAAAATCACTAATTTATGTTCGGCTAGAGTACAGAGTCAAATTCTGGGCAATTAACTTGAGATGACATGAGAGATATTGCAGAGAAGATGTATGAGAATGGTTCCAGAAATCTGCAGTTACAAGGATAGATTGGGGAGATTTCTTTTCAAGAAAGGAGGCTGACAGGAGACATGACAGAGGCATACAAAGTCATGAGGGGAGTCAGGTCACAGTGAATAGGGAGAACCTGTTCTCACTTGTGATGGCATTGAGAATGAGAGAACTCCGAGTTAAAATATTCAGTGAAGGAAGTAAACCTGCTATTTTATATTCTTTATTGGGATACAGGCATCACTGTCAAGTCATTTGTTCTTATCTAATTTTCCCATTGAAGTGATTGGTTCTCAATGTAATTTCAGAGGATAATTACGAGTGAAACACGTTGCTCTGGGTCTGGAGTCACATATAGACCAGACAAGGTAAGACAACTGATTCCCTTCTTTCAAGATATCAGTGCAGCAGATGGGTCTTCATTGGCGATTGGCAATGGCCACACGGTGAAAAATTTTCATGCAGCAAGTAGTCTGGCTCTGCAGTGTACTGCCCGAGTTTGTGGTGGCAGCAGGGTCAATTGAAGCTTTTACAAGAGAATGATATGATCTAAAAAGTAGGTAATACAGAGGAGAAGGCAGGGGAATGATAGCAGGGAAAAAGCTCATTCAAAGATCCAGTGCAAACTCCTGCTGCAACATAAAAACTGTAAAATTCTACAATATGGCTGGAGTTCACATGAGTCAGTTT